GTTTTGAGCCTTGAGGATTAGCTTCCTCCAGCAGTATATTGACATGAATCACGTTGAATTACGGCTGCTGTCAAATAACAAAAATGAAACGGTATCTGATAACAGGTTAAGTCAGCCTCATTCTGCCAAGCCTCGCCAATAAATCTGCGTTTTTCACTGTACTGCGTGTACCTGTGGGCACGCACACCCCAGGCAGAGGAGCTCCTCACTCTGCAGAACGTTGGAGACTCTTACAGACGCCCTGTGGTCCGCCGCTCCAGTTCTGTCTGCAGCACGTCACCATAGTAACCGAATATAAACAGTTGGGAATGTCCACTGCCTATAAACAATGCACGTTTGCACTCCCACATGTGCAGAGTCAGACAAATGCCCTGCACACATCTCAGCCATATGAATCACAGTAATCCCCTATTCTTGCTCGGGTTAAAGAGGGGAATTCCATATCTCACAGAGCCGATCTGCAACCATACATAATACACAGTTCATGCATGATGGGGCTTGCTTATATATCATACTCAATGTGTTATTATACTCTCATGTCGGATCACCAGAATGCCTATAAAAGCATTTTTTCACCTTTTTGTAGCTAAAAACCTTGTAGGAAGTTGGCCTCCTTATCCTTTACATTCAAGTTTGCATCTCAAATTTTGAAATAGGTTATTTGCTCTTAACATGGGCTTTTAACTGTAGCCTTTAGAATGAATCTAAATTGCAGAGATTATGCTTTTAATCACAAGCTGACACAATCTCCTAAAGTTTAAATCGAATGTTTGTTATGTGCTTTGGTCCAGTAAGTGTACAAAGTACAACAGCACAACAGAGAGTACTGTACAACAGTACTCTCAGCCCTGAGATTACAAGTTACGGTGGTACTACACACCTATGCAAGCATATCTAGGACCAAACAGCACTAACCAATCCTCAAACTGTGCTGTATCATGTAACAAAAAGCCCAGCAAGCCAGGAGGTTTGGCACACAAAGCAATTCAAACTCACACCAACACTACACACAAAGCTTTGGATGCTTATAAATTCTCATCTGCAGTTTGACCTCAGGCAGCTGGCATTCATCCCTCTTTTAGGCTAAAGCTTGATGAACAGGTCGACCGCTGTAATAAAGCAACAGACAGCTGTTCCACAGAATATCCTTTGACTTTAGCTTTACCCTTAATGACCGAACACCGTTTACCATTCGGTTGAGCACACTCTTTGGTAACTATCCTGTCTCCTAGCAAAAACTTGCAGGGGTAAAGTCACACAAATCTCATCCAATCAGTCAATGTAACAGTCGAAGAAAGTAAAGTGACTTGTTTAAGTTTTGTTAACATTTACTGGCTACCTTACAATCTGTTGGAAAATGAGTTTCCGGTTATCATTGTCCAAGGTTGTGGATTGTTAGTCACCTAAAAGAGGGACTGTGTACGATTTTGGTTTGCTATTTCCTAGAGAAGTGTGAGTGTGTGTCTGTGTGAGACCTCATTCCACTTATCAGTGATGAAATGTACTCACAATGCTTCAAGACATTCAGAAAAGAAGAAGTACATGCCACATGTCATCGAGAGATTCCAGGAATGTCGAATAAATAATCGATTGAATTAAGTGATTTTTCAAAACAAAGCTTTTGTTATGAGAAAAATGGAAGTCACTGAATATATAATGAGTAAGGGGAGGGTCAGGACCTGGTCACCTCCAGGTTAAATGACGGCAGCATGCTGCATTTTAATTGAGCTCTTTTGCCTTTTAACTTGGACCCACAACATTTAACTCAGCTCCTGTCCGTTCCTGGAGTCTGGAGCCTTGCGAGCATCATGTGAGCAGGAGAGGGTGAATGAATAGAGAAATTATTTCACATGTTCGCTGCTGACTTGGGCTTCCATGAACAATAGGTTGCATTTTTTTTGTTGCTTTTTTCCCCCCCAGAGTCAGGACACCAGATCACCGTTGGACCAAAGCTTTTCCACATGCTCCGAAAACTGCTAACAATAGTCACAATTCATCAAGTCGTCTGGGCTAAATCACAGACAATCCCACGATTGCAATGCATCTCTGCAGGGACAGCCTCTCCCCTCTCACTCCCACCTGATGCCCTGCTTCTCGCGTTTCACGCCTACACAATAGAGAAAATCCCATGTTTCATACACCACTACTCCTGCTGACCTGACCTGTGCAAATCAAGAAGCTGCTTAACTTACAAGCTCACAGCTGGGCCTTACAAAAAGCCGGTCCATCATCTGAATAAGAATGTCTGATGACGCCATTTGCACACTACATATCTGTAACCAATCAGAACACAAAGAAACAACGAGCTGGTGCCCACTTGGGCATTTAGCAGATTTAAACTGTCCAACTTTTCTACAAAAGCAGAGCAAAAATGGCACATAACTGCACTTAAATAGGGAGGGCACGACTTTTGAAGAAAACATCCACAATATTCAAACTTTTGGCTTGTGTGCAATGGCGATCATACCTATTGATCCTGATGAAAGGTACACATTTCTTAATAAAGAGGGGTTATAATCCTGTTGCTTACGGATATGTCATGGTGTTTATCAGCCATAATGACAGGGACAAAATAGACTGTGGCAAAAAGGGAGGTTGGAATGTCAGAGAAACATTTGTGATGTTCTTGATAAACAAGAAAAAATTCAAAAAGATATTACTAACATGTACAGCAGAGAAAGTTCTGCTTTTGTGCGCAGTGTGAAAATAACATGCAGATGTGTTTTTTTTGTGAAATTATCTTTTGAAAAAAAAACATTTCAGACTCAATTAGGAACCCTAAAAGGTTTCAGAGATATTCTGATAGACCAGTATGCAAAAAAAAACAAAACAAGAACTAATGCCTGCAGCACTCAGTATGTCCTTTAGACATTTCTAAACAACGTCCAGAAGATCAGATCCCCCTCACTGAGCGCATGTTTAGCAGCTAATCTTCCAGAACATTCACCCCTGGGAAGTGCTTCTGTAAACAAAAAACAAAACAGAAAATGTCTGATAAAGACAGTTTTATCTGCGCGTCTGGCTGCTGGGGCCAAAAATTTGGACCGCTCGTCCATGTTTGAAAGTAGCGAAACATTCTGTACACCTGTCGGATATATGTAGAGGAGAGATATGTTTTCTCTTCTGACACTCACAAAACAAACTAAACTAAATATAGTAGGCTGTGTGTGTGTGTGGGCATCAAAATTATTACGGAAATAAAAATCAAAATAAGTCAATATTCTCATTATAGGGGTTTATATGAGAGGTAAATACCACTACTTTTTATTATGCAGCCACTCATATGTCAGAGCTTACTCTGATGAATGACTCATTCCAACAATATGTCCTCTTATCGATTCTGTCACCCACCCATATTCTTAATTACAAACACATCCCTCCTAGCATGACACATTATCCTACTTGGGTTTGTACCGCTCTGTGAAACTGGGTCTTCTTGTGCTGCAGCCTTATCGCTCTGCAAAAAAACAGCCGGCATCATTAAACAGAAGGAGATGTACTTAACCTGCTATGGTGATAGCAGGTTAAGTACATGAAGTCTGGCAGCTCTAAACTCAAAAGAATGTACTACAAAGACGCAGTGTCAGTCCCATGAGGCCGAGACACCTCTTGAAGTGCTAAATATTCGGATTAAACTCAACACGTGTCTGAATAATGCAAGTGAGATCGTCCCATTCCACATGCAGATATGCATATGAGTGCGTGTGCAGGCTGCAATAAGCTATGATGATTTCTCACCGTCTTGCATCATTAAACCACCGCTGAGACAAAACAAGCCGGAGGAGGGCAACACCTGACATGCTGAAAGCAAACACATTGTGAAAGTAAAAGCCGTGTAGCAGCAGCCAGTAGGAGACCTTGACTGACAGTAAACAGGTCGGGCCATCCCAGGGGATCCCGGCTTGTTTACTTTCCCGTTGTTTACCTAAACACACAGCTCCGGGAGGCTAAGACACATTCTTGTGTGTTTGTTAAGGGACAGATAGGAATGACAGATGAGGGTTGCCCCCACCCAGGACCTTGAGACTTCCTTCCTCTGATACTTTGTGTAGACTTCAGACACACGGGTAACAATTAACATCCAACATGATCCTCAAAGACTTTCAACAAAAGAAAGGATTAGGGGAAGGGGATGAGGTCATACTGGGAGCCAGAAGTGCCTAAAAGTAGGTGTTTTCTCTCGCAAGCCAAAGGTCTGTTAAGAAATGCATAAGAAAAAGCCCCACATTCACACTTTGTCCTTTTTCCTGTCAGCTCCTGTTGAATGAGAAACAGGCACCATTCAACTCAAACTCTACTCAGCTTTGGACAGAAAACCTAAAATCCTGTGTAAAATGTTTGTTTTTTACCAATGCCTCTTCCCAAGCTCAGACAGTGGAGGGTGTGTATCTGTTTTTTTTTTTGCTGAAATTTTGAAAAATGTCACTGTTCAGGGGGTTAATGAGCCCCTCCCTAAGAAAACACATGGTGTGGAAACACATCTTTTATTTCCAGCTATTTCAACACACAAGCGCTGTAAATCTGCATGAAGCTCGCTGCTGGTTGTGTCCAAATATATCAAACCACTTTTAAGCAAGCCCCCCAGTTTATGTCTCATCTCTAAGGTTTGGATATTTAACTTAAGTCAGAGTGGGTAGGATTCACTTTCTAGAGCAACAAACAAACTTGGGATGCTGGCTTGTTTACTGGGTCTGATGGGAGACCAAAACACAAATCATTTATGGTCCTGAAGAGCATAAACATAAGTGCGTAAAAGAGAGAGAACACCACCAAACTTTAACCTGACCCTTCTGCAGCCCAGGGTGCGCAAATTGGGAAGCCAAGTGGGTGTGTCGGGTGGGTGAGTGACAGCCAAGGGGAAATGTTCATGCAACAAGTTAAACTTCCATGCAGATCTAAATCCGTTTGGGCGAAGACAGGTAGAAATTGCACAAACGTTTACACCCACGATCTGCTCTTTGCCACGACTTAGGGACTAGAAAAAGTGTCCAAACACTTACAGGTGGCGTCTCCTGTGTCCATTTTGCTGCTGATGCTGATGTCCATGTGAGGACCGCTGAGGTTCAGTGCGGCTCCATGAGTGAGTGAGCGCGTGAGGGCGTGCGCGGAGCCTCCACCGCTGACAGATCCTCTCAGCCCGGAGAGGATCAGCAGGTTGGACCAGGCCTGCCTATCTGCTGGGTCCTAAAGTCTACTGGGTTGAAACAACTCCCCTCAGGTCCCTGCATGCCCTGTCTGCATCTAACCTATGGGGCGGTTTCCACTTGTGTCCAAAAATGGCCATGGTGGCTTCCTGTTTATGGGTTATGGCCAAAAGAGCCTAAATGATGATAGCTTTATGTCACTCCCCTGACAGAAAATGTTCAAGATGCTGGGACATCTTTCTGCTAAACTGTAGACTGCAACCAGCTAAACAGCCTTTAGTAAAAGAGAAGACTTGAGTTATATGCACACTATTGCACACCATCAACATCTCCAGTGTGTGTAGTCAGCACACAGTTCAAACACTGAATCATAACCTTTGCCAGATGCCCTCACCCACAAGTGAAAGGATAAGAGTGATATGCATTAAAATCGATCAGAGGGAGAGGACTAGATAATGTCCCGTCTCATAAAACTGCAGTCAGTAATCAGTTGGAGGACCGTGGTCATGTAGAAAGTTAGTTTTAATTTCATGTGGTGATGTACACCCATCAAAGAAACCATGTGTGACCTTTGTCAGGGTTGTGTTTCTCAGTTGTGGAAGATTTTTTCAGTTTTTCCAGATTAACAACCCACAGGCCACAACATACATCATTATTTATTTTACAGATTATATTTATGAATTCTTTTTCAGGAGGATTTGTGCAAAGTATTTGTAGTGGTCAGACCTCTGACACTCTGACTAAGATACTCAGTATGAATCAAATACTGTGATCTGGAATTGGACACTGTCACTGCTGCATACTGATTGGTGCCTTGGTATAGGATAGTACATGCTGCCACATGTTGTTGCAATATTATCTGGGCGCTATAGGCAATTATATGATAAGGTTCAGTGTAAATATGGCATAATGCTTCTCTCAGTTTTATACATGTCTGTTTTGGAGTTTTGTAAAACCTGTTATTTCCAAAAATAAGCTATGACATTTGTCACTTTCAGGTTTCTAATATCATAGATTCCGAGTTTGCTATAACAGAAGCTCAACCCCTTTTTTTTTTACTTATTTTAAAAAAAAGCTTGAACAGGTTATGAGTCACCAAAACATTTGCAGCAGAGTTTTTGCGCCGGGCTTGCATGGATCAAATCTGTTTTTCCAGCACATCCCACCGATTTTCAGCCAGACTGAGCTCAAGGGAGGCTGGGAGGAGGTTCAGTCTCCATCCATGGGCATCTGTGGTTCATAACATATTGACATCCACACCCGTAGGCCTTTCATTTCTTCCACTATACACCTCGTATCCATTCTCCAGATGAATGACCTATAGGGAGTGTGATATTTTACCCATTCTGATCCTCAAGATAAGAGAAAATGATTGGTTGAATTTCAAAATGCAGTTTACTGGATGACAGCTGCATGTAAAATAAATAAATAGATAAATAAACAAAACACTGAAACTAATGAATATTTTTGTGCAATCACAAGCCTTAAACTTGATCATAACCTGCTGTTTAACTCAATATTGACTTTATAAAAAAACACTAAAAGTTTTTTCCCCCCGATATTGTTTCAAACAGAATAACAGACTAAATTAAACACTTTTGCAAATGCCTTTTTAGCACTCCTGAGGTTGTTTCGCCTCAACGAAACTGAAGCTCTGCAAAATGGGTGGGGAAGTTTATTTTCGTTGGTCCTAGCCCAAAGAGCCCGAAAGATGCTTGCTATGAGCTGTTAGCGTCATGTCCCTCTTCTGACAGAAACTGTTTAGGATCCTGGGACATCCCCTCGCACAATCTTCTCCTTAGGTGCCCCATTAGTTACTAAACAGACTGAACACACACAAAGTTATTGAGTCCCATCATTCAAATGCTGGTGCACAGCATCAGTAGCAGCTAAATTTATTGCTCTTTCCTTACCGGAGTCATGTGGTTTCCTTATGCTGCTAAATCATCGACATACAACACAAATAGATTTAGACCTGGATGAATTGACATGGATGTGAAAGTCATTGCATCAAATATGTAAAAGAAAAAGCATTGTATCCAGCCAAACAAACTAGAGCTCATTAATCCTTCCACATGCTTTTTTGGGATCATCCACAATGATACTCACATAAAGATGCAGGTCATCATATTCCACACTCCCCTGTATATTCTGCCATTTACAGTGTGGAACAAATCAAGATTTATGAGACCTAACGCATTCTTCCACTGCACCATCGTCCAGGTCTGAATCTCATCCACTCACGTTGTGTATTTTGACACCTTTCCACTTAGAATGAACATCTCTTTTAAGATATGACCTCACTGGACAAAGTTCTCTTCCTTCACGCATCAGTAAGCAGTGGGAACACATGCTCACATCGCTGTGTCTGGTTATCTTTTACTGATTCCGTTTTGATGCACAGTAACCTCTGCACACTAAAACTATTCTACATTACCTGGCACGGTAATTGGCTTCATAATAAGATCCAAAGTAAAATCCCTCAGATTATACTTGCCTAATTCTGCTTTGAGCATTTTAAGAACTGACTGTTCAATTGCTGTCAAGTATAGCGCACCCCTTGAATAGATTTAATTTGAAGACATAATTAAAGCATTCTTATGGCAGATATATTACAATACAACATAACCACCCCCTTTTATCTCACTAATACATAGATTAACTAGAAGGAAATCCCCTTGGTTTAATTTATAGAAATGTATTCGATCTAAAGTCATATAGACTTTCATTTCCTTGGGAACCATTTCAGCAATTTCTCAGAAAAATGTGCAATGTTTTACCGAGAAGCCTTTTAGACACGCAAAAAAACATGAGAAGAAAGACTTTGAGTCGCAGTTTAATTTTAGTGACAAAATCAAAAATAACAGTATTCAAAGGAAGAAAAGTCTTCAACAACCCTGGATCTTTGTCGGCGTGTTATATACCTTGCAGAGTGTGAGTGAATATAATCTCTGTAGCTACAAAATTAGAATAGTAAAAGAATATAAACAATAGTGAATTCAAATGCATGGATGACTATAATGCTCATTCTAAAACATCAAGTCAATTTTCGGTTGCAATTGGTAGAAAACAGGGGAACAAGGTTGTGGTTTCTCTTGCCGTACCTACGAAATCTACGGGATTGCACATTCTTTCGGGTGACCATATAGCTGCACAGTGACCTTCAATCATTTCATCAGCGTTATATGGAAGTGATCTTCATCCTCACTTTGGTTTTAGGTGTCACACAAATCGATGCAGATCAGGCTAACAGTTGAGAGGTTATTGTCCACCTCATATTCATATATTTTTTTTGTATGTGTCAGTGTGTTACTGTTAACTAGAGGGGACACTTTCATAAAGGAAATCAGAAATCAGAAATCAGAATACATTGACAAATTCATCCAAAACCAAAGGATATTGATGTCGTAAGCTCACACTCATTCTCGTTTTTCTAATCATTCACACTGGTAAAGTGTCATAAATGATATACTGTATCTACATTCTACTCCATTGGATTGCTGGTGCTGCAAAGTCATAACTAAGAGAGCATAACAAATAAGGCAAAGCCAAAATTCTCCTCATTGTGTTTAGGTACTGCAGCTCTGGTCACAGACACTCTCTTGGGCCCTTCTGGAGGCGCGCTCATGACTCACGACACTACAGTATGACAGTCTCTATTGCTTACACTCCACTCCAGCCAGAGCTGCGCGGGCCACCACCCTCCACGTGGCCCCGTTAATATACCTCCGCGGACTTCCGTCTTACTCCAGATGTCCACTTTGGTGACAGGAATTAGCTTTGTCAGGCGAGGAGATCCAGAACAGGCTCTCAGGCATGGCAGTGTATCTGAGAAGAAGTGCTCCTGTCATCCTTCGAATAGCCAGCAAGTGGCTTTGCTTATGGCAATTTCACACGCGTCTGTATGGTATTAAAACAGTCGGGCCTGTTTCTTCAGCTCGTTCCTCTTCCATAAAGCCAGCCGGTCAAAGTCCTCCACGGTCATTCCGAACACCTGGACAAACTCCTCTGGGGACAAGTGGCGCTATGAAAGAAGGACAAGGGGACAAAGTCAAACTTTCCAGTTCCTTGATACCATTAATGCTACACAGGTTAAGGCTTTACATCTGAAATAGAATTTGAAAAGAGCTCAACATGTCCCCATATTAGTGGATAAAAAATAGGCATAACTCAACAGTTAAATTACTTTATAAGAGACATCCTCCTCCCAGCACAGTTTAGCTTGTTTTCCCATTCACAACTTACTTCCAGTCTGGCTCTGTCCACGTCTTTTGGCAGCCTGTTGCGCCCCCTGGTGGTGATGATGAGTGACTCGTAGGGGTAAATCTGCAGGTCAGAAGAGTTTCATGACACATTTAGCTCCCAAAATCCCTGTGATAATTTAACCTAAGAACTGTACTTATGGAACTACTTATTGAAAGTAGAGTTATGTTAAAAACATACCGTGTATTCAGCTGTAAGGAAAAAAGAGAGATCGACATGAGAAGTGTATTACGAAAAGAACAGATTAATTTATGCTCTGGGTAAGTACTAAAATTACCTCTGCTTCCCCAGTTGACCTCACTGCCACTGTCATACTGGTACTGGTAGCAATCTGCACTCTGAGGCTGCAGGTAGGGAAAGACAGCTGGATTAGAGGATGTACTAAGCTTGGTAATGAAGAAGGCTAATTTGGATTAAAATACATGTAAGAGGTAATAGGAATTAAGCTCTATTGTGCTGTATATAAATGTGTCATGTCATGTTAAGTGTATTCTCACCCTCTGGATGCCGTTGCGTCCATATCCTGGAAGTGAGGCTGATTTACAAACAAAATCTAAAATACACAAATGGACAATGTAAGTTTTAAATAAGCACTCAGATAAATCACAATAACATGTCAGTACCCGTTAGTGCCAGAAGATGGCGCTCATCACCAACCAAAAATAAACGTTAACAGCTCCAGATGTATACAGAAGGTTACGGATGATGAATTTTTATAATTTATTAACCATTGCATGCCTCCAAAGGAACAATAAAAAACAAACAACAGAAGCACACACCTTTTTTCAGACAAAGAAGCAATTTTATAAAACAAACTCACCACTATCAGTGCTGAACTGAGACCGCGGAGCTGCGAAATAAACATATCAATTACACAACTGCTTGATCAAACCCATCATAGAAAAAAAGACAAATGCTGCAACATATCCTGAATTTCTATGATATCCATCTGACTAAAAATATCTGGTAAAAAGTCATATTTTTAGTGACTAACTTAACAAAGATACATAAAAGAAGCAAGCTGGGATCCTATCAACTCCCGGGATTAGGGGGAAAAACATAAGGGGGACAAAGTATTCCGGAAAAGGCAAGAGCAGAAAAGATGAAAATATACACATAAGTGCAAGAAAAATCTCCTAAACGCCCCACGTTAGCAGTAGTTGCACAGGGCCGTTTGTCCTCACTGCCTCTCAACCAGCCGAGCCCTGTTCACTCGTTCTCCCTCCCATTTGACAAAAAGCTCTAATGAGAGACTTTACTGCCCATAAATAAAACAGGATATGGGACACCAGCTGTGAGAGCAGGAGTGTGAGATATACACACAGATAGATGGATGGAGTTTTGGAAGAGTAGAATATGGAAAGCTATTCCGTCAGAGCAAAAGTGAGAGGCAAGCTATTATAGGCAACTCAGGGGGAAAGGGCGTAATGAAAAAAAGATGGGCCGAGACAGGGAAAAAAGGGGAAAATACTTTTGTTAGAGATGGAGATAGACTGGTGCCTTGATGTCAGATGTAAAATTAAGATTCTCGACATGCTACATAATCAGTTATGCTCGGCCTTAACTGATTGAACTGGAAAACAGAAACAGCTCTGCCCGTCTAGGAACTGACATTATCACATTTGACATTTCGACACACCTGCTTTAACGCGTTTTTTTTGGTCCACTTCTGTGCAAATGTTCTGTATTGTTCCCATAAGACATCTCCTCAGCTACAGCAGACTTAGTCCTCTGATGCTGCCTTTGGTTCAGTCACCTAATCTGCTTGCCTATAAACCCCCCCCCCCCCCCTGCAGCAGCCCTGACCCCCGCTGACCTGCATCCACCGCCCTGCTGCCCTTGACAAAACAGCAGTGACAGCAGATATTGAAGCGCATAAAAAGTCCCACAGACAACATATGTGATCACGTTTGGAGGGGCTCGGCAGGAATGAGGTGTTCGCGGACTTGCAGACGAATGAGGGGGGGCGGGGTGGATCCTTACAGCCGTTGATGGTGTTGTTGTACACCGTGGTGCCGTAGCCGGTTGTGTTCAGCGTTTCCTTGCTCCCGCAACGAGAATTCCGAGCACTGCCCCAGGGGTCGTTGTCATAGGAACCAGATCTGGCTTTCATCTCCTCCTTTAGGATCATCCTCCCGATGCCACTCCCAATCTGGGGGGGGAAAAGTACAAGGAAAAAAAATCACAGAGTTAAAAAAGTGACAGGGGGAAAAAAAAGCTACTTCGACATACAGAACGGAGGGTGAAATTAGCAAGAAAAGCAAAAGGGGTACAGTTTTGGCATCAAACCAGAAAAAAGAGCATTGTTTTGGGCTATTTCTGAGTATGGAGCTAACTTCAATCTGATGATGAAGAGAGGGAGAAGGAGAATAATGAAGCTCTCACTCTTTGAAGACTCTGACTCCAACACTCTTCATCTCCTCCCGTCGAGAAGCGTCTTCTTGGCACCCGATAGGCTTAGAGAGAAGAGAGATTAAAGAGATTCCCCTCGCATGAAAATAGACCTCCAAGAGGGAAAACGGCAACAAAGTGAGGGAGCCAGTAAGTATGACAACACAGCTACAAAATGAGCTGCACTCCAGCGTCTGCTTTTGGTTCTGTGAAAAAAAGGAAGGAGGTTGCAAAACCGAATCTACCACTGTTCCTCACCCCTGGGGGAGCTGGCGTACGGGTAGTAGTCAGACTCCGACTGTGCATATGGCTCCGGAGTGAAGGTGGACAGTCTGGAGGATCTGAGGATGTCCTCACTGGTCCTGCTTTTGGTGGCTGCTTCCATATGATTGTCTGGAAGAGAATTGAGTTGAAGAAAATCAACGAACCAATCAAACCGAAACAACTGATGTTTCTGTGGAAGAAATAGTTTAATGACGCAGAAAAATATGCTCAAAGAATTCACAGACAGCGACATGTTATACAATCCTAATCCCAGAAAAATCGGCATCCTGTCTGACATTGAAAATAAAAACAGAATGCAATGATTTGAAAATCCCAAGAACCATTATTTTAAATAGCAAAATAACTGAAATACTATTTAAAGTTAGAAAACAGAGCATGTTTATGAAAAATATCTGATTGGCAGAGGCAGCAGTAACGGGCAATGGATCAGTAAAAAAAGCTTATCATCAAAATATTTAGAAAATCTGGAGTTATTTCTGTTTGTAAGGTACAAAAACAACAATTATTATCAGTTTATGCAAATCTTGTTTCTTCAGAGAGAACAATATTCCAAAATGACACAACCTTGTTGTGGAAATTGGCAAATGAGTTCAGGACAGTTTCCAGTAACAATTGTCTGTGAACACATTTTAGCATCTCTTCTACAAATGTAGAGTAAAGCTCAATCTTGTCAAGAAAAATCCAATCATACCATTAGGATTTTTTTGTCTTTGGGGCTGAGTGAAGGAGCAATAGCCTGGCTTGTTATCAGCACATTCAAAAGTCAGCATCAAGTGTCATCATGTGTGCACAACTTGCACAAATGAAAAAGCATCAGCAGTGCTGAAAAACAGCCACATTCTCCTTCTTTAGCATGGCTTCATAATACAAGAATAAAAAATGGAAAATTTCTTCTGCCAATAATTCAGCAGCTGATCTCCTCAGTTCTCAGAAGCCTGCTGGGTGCTATTAAAAGAAGGGAGCTGAGAGATAGACATAGCCTTTAATATGACCTAACATTTTTCAGGAAAAATGTCTCACTTTCAATAGCTTTTTTCAGTTAAAACCTTGGTTTATGATATTTGCAAACTATTGCATTCTGTTTCTGGAAACATTTTAAACAGCACAGAAATTCTATTGTAGTATACGAATGAAAACATATAATGAACGTGACACGGTTACACAATTAAAGAGTACTTTTACTCAACAGGTTTGTAGTCATCACATTCAACTTTCTTGTCAGACAAGATCAACGTTTCAACCATTGGTTGGAAAGTAACTTGCATCTAAGAGGGTTTGGTTACAGTTTAGCCTGAGGCACACAATCTTTTCACGAGCATTGACAGGGTGATGATGATGCCACTCCACACCACAGCACAGCCAGTGGGGACAACGTGCACTGTAATGTCACATAGACTGCTCCTCACTCTTAGCCATTAGCCATAACAGCCCTGATTTTTAATCCATCGGGGTCCTATTTACATGATGAAGGACACTTGAGTTAGACATTCTCAGCCATTATACTTTTATGGAACTGTTGAAATAACTAAATGGCGAGCCACACTCACACTGACAAAGACTCACACACAGTAATGCATCTAAACAGAGACATCAACATGTCTATCCACTTAGAATGAGTGAACAGTGAGCGGAGGGAGGTACTTACAGTGGTAAGGTCACCAGGTAAAGTGGAGCAGAGGGTGGAGGGAAGTAATTAAAAGTGATTGGATGCATAAAAAAGAGGCAAAAAGAAAAGGGAAACATTATTGGAGCATCCAGGGGAATATGAGAATGTGGGAACTTTGCTGCCCATATGTAGGAAGAGGGGGGGAAAAAGCCAAAATGATGGTTTTTGATAGAGCCTCTTTTTCCATACGGGTAGCATTAGGCAGCTAAAAGATTAGTACATAACTGGCCGTGAATGCACAGAGAAATTCCGTTTCACATGTTTGTGTTGTGACATTGTTGAAACAGAGAAAGTTATACTCGTTATAAAAAAGCCAAAAAGTACATGTAATATCAATGAGACCGACACACACGGGTGAGTTCAGTATCAGGATTCTAACAAGGCGTGCTAAAAATGTTTTATCTCGCTGTTTGCTATATACGCTCCATGTTCACGCCTGTCTTAAACATATACAAAAATGTCCCAACCTGGAAACGTGGCCAGTGATGAAACAATCTTATAGCTGAGCCGTACAGGAGGGTGAGTGCTCGCTAACAGACCAACACATGGTGTACACACTGTACAGCACGGGGGCATGCAAGACAACAACAAAGATAAACTATCCTCAGTCAAGACATCTTATGACTCTCAGCTGGAAAGCCTTTTTTAAGTGCAATGTGACGAGGGGAGAATAAGCCTCTTTCTTATGCATTTTCACACTCGCTGCCCACGCTCACCCAACCCAGAGGGCTGAAGCGCATTTGAGTTTAATGACTTATAAAAAGAAATAGGACAAAAAAAGCATTTTGCATTAACTGTTCTGCCACACTATTTGACCTAACAGCATAAATGCGCAATATTAAGATACTCTTCTCCACTCATGCCCTGATGTATTTCTTAAAACTTCCAGGTTTAGCTTGGTTCCTCAGAAAGAAAACAAAATCACCTCTACACTTAAACTATGCCATGACCATTGGCGTCCTTGTCAAGGCTGAGAAGTTAGAATGAAAGCACAGCAAATGCAAATGCGTCTTGCTGTGCTTTGTTCCTCAAGGGTCCCATGTAGTGAATACCTGTCCCTGCTGAGCAAGCCATAGCTTCAACTGCAAAAGGCCTCACTGGTAATTTTGCTTCACTTCTGAAACGATGTCAAACACTCAAATGGATTGTTCCCTAATGCTTCCTCTAACCTATAAACCTTCTCCTTTCATCTGCATTGGTGGGCAAAGTACAGTTAAACCAGATGATGGTAAGGGCTCAGGTCTGCAAGAACATCTACGTTGAATATCAAACACAGTATGACTACACTGAAAGGAGGACAGGCAGGGTAAGGCGGGGCTAACTGCACTGTACCCGTTCTCTTATAGATGGGAGGCTTCCTGTAGATGTTGGGGTCCCCTGTGGCTGAGGAGAGAGAGAGGAGATGAAGAGGTGAAAAGTGGACGAGCGAAGGAGGAGAAGTGAATTGATATTGGGGTGATGAGTAGGGAAAGGGTGTGGAAGGGGTGAGTGTAAAGGAAGATAAAAGGAGGGAAATATGCAGGATGAGGAAAAGACTATGCCTGAGAGGTCGTGTGTTACTTTTCTAAATGATTTGCCATTGTGAACAGCAACTGGTGAACTGTAGGGGGGTGCAATGGGCAGGTGAGCATTCCTACCTGGTACATGAAAATGTTTAGGGGGCTGGTTTGTGGTGGGTGTGCTTGAACGCCCCTCTTGGCTGTAATAAGGTGAACTCCTGCCACTCTCAGAGCCTGCAGTCAGCCACAGCCGATGATAGCAAAGGAAACATGAGGATGAGGAACGGCTTTAAGACATGCAGATGAAAAACTTTCTGGAGTGTTTCTTTACGCTACAAACCGGCACTGAACAACTTTTTGTCGAACATTAAGACAAGGCAAAAGTTCTCAGCATGGAAACAATGCAGCAGCTAACAGGAAATGCCAGCGTTCCTGCATATGTGCGTAGTTTCTTGAATTAACAACCAAGAACTTCAGCGAATGAGTCAAACAAGTAATATGACATTTTGTCCCCGAGGCAGTGAATCTATTATCCCATGTTCTCAATAACATAATTCATGTTGTTCTTGGTAGCTTTAAGAGGGACGATGAAAATGACAAACAGCTTGAAGTCTACTACAAATTCAGTGATTATCTTATGCCATAACAGACTGTATTAACCCAAGATAGTTGTTTTACATTAACACAGGTAATTTCATTAGTTAATACAAACTTCTTCCCGGATAGCAGGCCTGCAACACATTCCAGGGAATTGTTTTGGTTCACAAACTTCATGGAGGTGGGAAAAAAGGGACAGATCGAGAACGGTCATTCATTAATAGCTGAGGTCACCGTTTTAGGTAAGAGATAACCTTACACAGTTATATATTTAGTTATATATTTTTTCATTTTTGTTTTTAAGTGGTGAAGCTGTGAACATATTGGAACTTGCTTTTAAGAGCAACCAGAGAAAATAAGGCCTGAAACTCTTTTAATTGTTGTGAGAAGGGCTGGGAAAAGTTCTTATTTTTATTTTTAGAAAGAGCTGCAGACCTGCATGCAAAAGAAAATGTTGCAGCTTCACAAATTAAATGAAGGTAGTGCATCCACACTGTCTGCCATGAACTGAAAGAAAAGCAAATGTAAGATTTCTGCATTTCTGAAAAATGGATTTATTGTTATTTCCAATAACCATACCGTGATTGCTTTAATTCAGGGTAGTATAAAACATCAGCATTTGTTTGCTTGATTAATTAAACGCAGTGGGGAAAAAAACAAATTAAAGAAATGCATGAAGTGCCTATTTTCTTACCAGGATAGCCAAAGTGCTGAGGAGAGCGAGGCATGATGGGAGACATGCCTTGACGACTAAGTGTTGGGGAGTCGATATAACCTGGACTAGAGCAGCGGAGCTGCTTTGTATCCAGACTGTCATAGTCCTGAAAAGATAAAAGAGATCAGATAAACTTAAAAGTAGTAGAGAACAAAGACAAGCAAATATGATGAGAGTGGACTTGTTGGAACTTGTTCTGTCACTCATATCTGATGCAAGAGCCCTTACCTGAGAATATGGTGAGAGAGTCCCAAGTGACTACAGAATCAGGGGAGACAGAGAAGTTGTGTTTGTTTTTTTGACTGGAATAGTCAGAAAGTCAAAACATTATGCTGAGTGAGGCATATTTTAATCACCAGACAACAATGACGGCAAACAGACCGAACAATTTTCCATACTAGGATTTTAGAAGTATCACTCAATTTAGAGTTGTTTTATCTGATACGGAAGTATACTAAAGAGTTAATGTTCGACATTAGAAGGGAACGCAGCTGTTTCACTTGGTTACATAACATTTTGATCTGTCAGACTACTTTTGTCTGCCTTTACACAAATCAAAATGTTACAGTGGATGCTTTTATGAGGTATTAGCTCTTAAATGTATTAATCTTATTGTTTTCATCAGAGGTTTGACAAAAAGCAACGTTTGCCAAAAAATCAAACTGCTCCTGTAGCCTATAAACTAGAATGAATTGTCGGTCAGGCAGTACACACTTTAGGCTCATTACTTTTAATCAATTCTGGTTAAATGCTTTTGAAATCTTATAGTCCTGACCATAAAAAAGTAAAACCTCAGCATTTCACTCTACACAAAGCCTTCTGTGAAAGTTAACTGCACATCACCAGCAATATCAAGTGAAATAAAAAAAAGATAATGCTCCTGAAAATGAAACCTTATTAAATCAACTCAGCAGATGGGATTTTAAAGCAAATTTCACATCAGAACTTCATAAGCTCAGTCGTGCTATACCGAATAGAGATGATAAAAACTGAAGGCTGCAAATCCGGGAAAATGTTTCCGTTTAAAAAATAAAATGGTGAGCTGGCAACGCTACATGACACAGAGTTTCTCAGGTTGCTCCTCTTGAAAAGTGTATTGCAGTTGTACCTCCCCATAGCTGTAATAGTCTAGCCTGTCATCAGAGGTGTATCTGTGGTACGGCTGGTATGAGGAGGATATGAGGTCGGGCTGCTGGACCTCATAAATGGCCTTGATCTTTGGCAGGGCAGCTAAATCCTTATAATCTAGGATCTCATTCTCCACTCTGGCCTGGAGAGAAGACACAAACACACCCACCACAGACAAAGACAAACAGCGACAAGACCCCACGTCAACCGCATGGACAATGCACAGAGTAAGGATGAAAAGACCACCAATGTTATCATTCACATGTGAGCAGAGTGAGGGGGGAAAAAGCGGGTGATGAAGGAGGCAGGGCCACAAACGGACACATGCACACTGCAGAGCCGGTCAGTGCTGAGGGCTGTTGACCTTCAGCGGCCACGCACATGTGAGCAGGGGAAGCAGAGGAAGCAAAGGCGGCCGGAGAGGGTGAGGGATGGAGGAGGTGTGGAGACAGTGCGGAGGACAAGTCTGCTTACACTGCATTTCTCCCTCATCCATCACCTTAAACAGAAAGGTCATTGATTACGAGAGAAGAGCAGAGCAGAGAGCAGGGACTCCGGCATGTGTGAAGGCAACCCCTTGACATGCCAATGCTGCCTTCATTACGGCCGCCCTCAGCAGACCGGGGAGCAGCAGGCTGTGGACATGCCACCATGGAGGTGCTCCAAGTTATCTGCACATATGTCTGACCATCTACCCATCAAACTCCACAAAAAAGGGATTCATGCAGAATAGGCAGATTGCTTAGATTATGAATTCAGTGGTGATTTTGTTCTAAAACAAATTCTAACTTGTCAGGGTCTCATTACTCTCCGATCTATGCTTAAACCTCCACAAAATCTGATTCACATCAGTAGGATATATGATCTATTTTCAGTCTGTACGCTGAAAACTGACAGGCAGAAAACTTGGTCCATCTTGTTTCGGTGCGTCTTGTTGTTCACAAAGTAACAACAAGCCACAGAACGAAAAAGTCATAAAACGTAACTGATTGCGACAGAGGAGAGACACAGACAAGGGAAAAGGCCAAGTGAGGGAGCAGCCTCGCATTTCGGTGCTTAAATATTCAAGCCTGTGGGTTGAGCTTGTGTTTCTGGTGCCGCCAGTGTGCCTCAGGATTAAGATTAATGGCATACAAAGGTTACTAAAAGCTGCCGAGCAACAGGTTACTTACACATATAACTCTACTCGGAGAGCCAATTGAGGATCCCGGAGGAGAGATGGAGGTCTCTGAAAGGCGTCGGTGCTGTAAAGTACAGCCAGAACATAAAATGTGGAGTGTGACAAAATGCACTCAGAGAAAATTACACTTTTACACTGAAGTGTTTTCATTCAAAACTCTTTCTTACCCTGAGCCTCCTCTCTGCCCTGGCTGCCTGCTTGCATAAAGGGTGCCACACCTCACACCCTGGAAGAAAGAAAGAGAGGAAAGGACAATGGGTGTTAATGCATGCCATGCATTCATCAACAATGACAAAGTGTGGGAGAAGAATTTCACCTGTCAGGTACATTTCCTCCCCTTCTTTGAACATCATGTTACAGCGGGCGCATCGAGCGCAGGACGGATGGTAATGTTTCCCTCCTGCCTGCAAGACCGAGACAGGGACGAACGTTATTTATCACAATTAGGATTTTCTGTCCAACTGCATTGTCCTCACTTTTGTTACGGTGCACCACCTGACCATGGGTGACCTCAGAGATGTGCTAAGACATGACGATAGCCTGTCCCTTCGCCCTATGCCATAATTAGAGCCCAATCCCTGTGGGTCGGCCACACGAGAAGAAGAATGTGCTTTTTCTGTGTGTTGTGCAGAGAAGGAGGGCGGCCACGTTGATGAAGGACACGGGAATGTTAAATATGTCCGAAGACATCCTGAGCACACACCCCCACCCCCCGAGGGGAAAAGCCCGACCGTAAATGTAGGGCGCGGAGAAAATGGACACAAAACATGGATGTAGTCTACGGGCCCGATTCCTCTCACATGTGTCACGGCGGGGATGATGGCTGGGGCGGGGTCTCGCCCCATCACCGCTTCCCCTTCCTGACACACCATTAGAGGATTCCTATTTATAGAAACACTGCTGACAAGTAGACTTGAACTATGTCAAGCGAACACACAGAGCATGCAAGTTTAACTGTGTGTGTTGGAGTATCATTTTATGCAATTTCACGGTGCGCTGACTCCTCTTGCTCTTCACAAAGCAAATCTTTATATGGGCTCTGCACGAGGTGCCAGTGTGCGGCATGATTGTTAACTGAGTCTGAGCTGCACCTTAAACAATGCCCACTCCGGCTGTGCGAGGATTCCACTCAGGTTACTGGGAAATGAAAGCCAGGAGCGGATGCGACATTTCCGCCCGCTGCCTTCGGAGCAAACGGAGCGTTCACCGCATCTGGTCACCTGGTATGTGTTCAAAAGCTGCTGCCACCGTTTCTGATTAGGCCCCCTTCTCTGTGGTGGAATTAATGGGCTGTTAAATGAATTGTTCAACTAAGATGTGTAACTAAATAAAAGAGCAAAGGGTTTTATGACGGTCTCTGGAGGTGGGCTGGGGAGATTCTCCGGTTTCTGACAAAGGAAAGTGAGGGATAGTACTAACCCCCCAAACATTTGCATATAATCAAATTTCAATTGATAGTGTGTGTTAAATGCTGAGACGGAGCCCATTATTTTCATTGGTCTTTATTCTGTTCGTCCCGGGGACTAAAACTGGATTAAACTTCCTGCGAGGAAGATCAGTTGCATGTTGCATCCCAAAGAAGTGCCTCGCTTTGCCATCAAAAGTTGACGGGAGAAAAGACCGAATATGTGCACACACACGCGTTTAAAAGTAAAGTGAAACAGACAGAGAAGAAGGAAGAAGAGACTTGAGTATGAAAGCTGACATGTCCCCGTGTCTATAAATAGCTCAGACAGGCTGACAGTCAGGAACAAAGCACTTTACACCAGCAATTCTGACAAGCAAAAGACCACAGGGACGATGTGGCCCCGCGCACGTGTTTGCGTGTGTGTCCGGGTTTTAATACACATGCTCTCTGCAGATGAGAGACATTCTCCAGAGGCTCCTCCAAAACATTTAATTAGCATCGGAACTTAATCACCTTCATTATTTCTGCCTCTACTGCCTGTGTTATTTCCTTTCCCTTCTTTGTGACACCTCTCACCTCAGTCCTCTGCGGTCTTCCTTTCACTGGTGACTTCTAACATTTCTACCAGCCTAAAAGAGCAAACGGGCATTTTTCTTACTGCAGATTTTGTAATACGTCTCCTCCTGTGCCGTCTTTTCCTGTTTCCCTTTGACCCTCTAATCTTTTTATAGCTCCCTTTTCCCTCTTCGATCCCTCCGAAATGTTATAACTCAGTCCAGCTTTTTGCCAGCTGTTACTGCAGCCCTACACTGAAAAGGATGTGTGGACTCTTATGCTGGACACAGCTACAGCGGTTTAGGTGAGCTTTGACCTGAACACACTTTTTAATCATCCTGTCTCAAATTGTCCGCTCCCCTTAACACAGAGGGACTTAATCTGAGCTGATGCGACTGCTCATTCTGATAATGCTGATTAGCTTAATATGCCGCCGTCATCTTCTAATTTGGAGATTTGTGCTGCTCAGTCTTCATGTCGTGTTCACGTGCTAAAATCTTACCTCCAGAACCCGTCCACTGATGTATCTGTTGCAGGTCTCACATTTCACCCCGTACTGGGCGTGGTAATCTGCCTCGCAGTACGGCACTCCATCCCTACAACACAAGGAAATATTTTTTTAAAAACTATACGGCAGCGGTTCAAATGCACGGTTTACTGTAACTTATCTGGGGGAACTGGATATGAATAAAAGAGCTGAAAAGTGAGACATGTGAGCTGCAAATGTCTCTCTCTCCATCTCGCTTTCCCCCTCTGCGCGCACTCACTTGCTGATGTACTCTCCTGTGAGGACCATGTTGCAGGTTTTGCATCTGAAGCAGCTGACATGCCACTGTTTCTCCAACGCCAGCAGCGACTGACCCTGCTTGATCTCTGCTCCACATCCAGCACAGTCTGGAGAGGAAAGGTGTGAGACGAACAAAGAAAAAAATACATCAAGAAAAGCAGACAAAGGAAGCAGTAAATGTTAGGGAAAGGTAAGTGCCAGAGATGGGAGGGAAAACCCAAACTCTTACTATGTCCCCAGATGTTTTTCTCTATTGTTCTACTGTAGTTCTGTAATAAACAGTTGTACTAATAAAAGAGGGGAGTTGATATTCCATGAATCGCATGAACACTGTGCATATTGCAGCTTCTCTCTCGCCCCTGCAGGTGTGAGCGTTTGTAACTGTGTTAGAAAGCAAAGAGGCGGCACAGAAGCAGCAAATGATGCATGGCTGCAGAGTCAAAAAGCTGAAACAAGGTCAGCTCTCCATTTGTTTTCTTATTTGGAAGATGTTCGGCTCAGTTTAACCTTTTCTACTGGCCCTAAAAGAAGAACGTGGGTGAGCTGGGACCACTCCACTCTTCCTTGTGGCCAGGAAAAACAGGACTTTTCAGTAAAAACCCTGCAGTGTAAAGAGTCAGGTTTCTGCTGCATAAATAAATCTTAACCATGGCAATAGTGCTGAGTACAAAGATTAAGGGTATCAGCTTCAGACTGTAGGTGTATACAGCTGGATTTCCTTAGAGTCATTACCAATTCAAATTATGTCTACAGAATAAGATATAGTTAATCTACAATCATGTATCATTGAGTGTGATTACATAAAAACTAAGATAGGAAAGAAGTCTGCTATACCCTCATCTAAGAGCATTTTACTCCAAACTGGGAGGGTTCAATAGTAATAAAAGGGTATACTACTTTTTTCTAATCTATTTTACACTTTACAATTGTGGAAAGACACGTGTTGCTGAGGAATTCCTATTAGTATCCACTATTTCATAGATCATTTTCTTAAAAACCAGCATTCATCCAGCATATACAGGCTCAACATGAGCCTGCATTAGAGTAAAACTCCAGCTAAAGGAGGCAAAAGCCATTTCTTCATTTGACTGGTGTATAAATACGTAACCTTTTCACCCACATTCAGAATTTTGAACAGCTGTCTATTTGCATTTCTCCCCAAACTAATTATTTTGTGCTTGGCAAATATGTACATAGTACTGCGGCGGGCTGAGTAGAAATATCCATTCTTAAACGCCCTACTCTTTCCACAGAACGAGGCTGCGCTGTTTCTATTTAGCGTTTGCACTCCGAGTCCTCGCCTCACACTGTGCATCCTCATAATGCGGAGTGATCAACACGTACCAAGGGGAGCGATTTAAATCTTATTCTCCTGAATGGCGCAATCTGGGAGAGACAGTTATTCACTACCTCTCCGCCATCTGTTCTGAAAGCACGGCCCGTGAGCAGCAGCCGGCTGTCTGCGCGCCGCACTCCATACGTTTCCCGATCAGTCACCATCCCTCTCTTGTATAATCACCATTTGTCATTGTTTTGTTTCTAAACTGAGGACAGCTCTTCTGTAACACAACTCCCATACTTTATCGCCGCTGAATATCTAGTTGGGTGATTGTTTGCATAGCACCCGTGTGCAAAAAAAAAAAAAAAAGTATTAAATCGTCTATATGCTAAGAGCTGACAGTGCTGAGTGAATGATGTGTCTGCTTCCGTTACATGATTATCAGCCGGCAGATCAACATGACAGGCCCGATGACGGATTACACAGACACTTGAGAGGATAAATGAGCTGAATGGGCCTCCTGCAACCCGCCGCATTAAGAACAAATGCGTAGCCCCTGGTGGCCTTAAGCATTACAGACAGAACCAGGCGGACGCTGAACTCACGGCTGGGCCCGTGGATCTTGATGGGTTCATTTGACTTGACAAGTGTGTGGGAGCACTGCTGGCACACGCAGTCCTTTCCACTGAATGTCACCCTGTCTCCAATCGGAAAGGGTTTACTGTGGAAGCGAAAAAAAGAAGAGAGAAAGAAATCAAGAGAGAATTAGAAAGCAGAGCAAAAAAAAAGGGGAGGTGATAATATGCCTGCAGGCTTCCAGAGTGTTTACATCAAAGTGCACAATGCACGGGGAAATAACAAAAGGGTGTGGGCAGGAGCCCGACTGGGAGACAGACAGGCCGTAATCCTGCTGACACCCGCTGAATACAATCCAATAGCCTCCATGAGGCTGAAAATACATTCACAAACAGTTGTGCCCACGGGTTAAATAGATGGTGGCGGTGACAGGAGCACCTGGCTTCTCTGTGTTTAAAGAGGCGATAATGTGTCGTTGCCACGGTTTTCTAAAAGGAAAACTAGCCCTCTCGGTCAGAATGAAAACTTATTAGGGCGACCGTGTGGAGCGCATACTGATCTTAACTGCCGGCTACTTGCTCAGTATTGCTGTCAAGTCGGATCTGCCTTTTTCACTCCCCACACAGCTGTTCCCGATGGGTCACTGTTTATATTGCAGCTTTAAAGCCACTAGAATAGAGTAAAAACACACACATGTTGTAAGACTGAGAACATGGCAGGAAGACAACATCTATAAAATCAAATTTATCATTCTACAGTGTTTTAACTCACTTCCCTCTCTTTGTAGAGGAGAAAGAATAACTTTTTTATGACTGGGGAGGACAGAGAGAATAAATGGGGAGCTAAAAAGCTTAAGGAAGGCTGTTTAAAAGACACAGATGGCAGTAATCCTTTTACTACCCCGCCAAGACCTGGAGCAAAAGCCAGCTCCCAGTGGGAGGCTCCAGTCTCCAAGAGAGCTGGGAGTCAGCACACGGGTCCAGTACAGCCATGTTTTCACTTTTGTCCAGTGGAAAACACGTCACTTTTCTTTTTGTCAGGAGTACAAAAGGATAGAACAGGCTTTTTCAACTTTAACATTTGATGTATTTGGAAATAATCATTTGATAGAATCACTTGATCTCACCAGAAATAATATGCACAACAACAGATCACAACATATCATCACTTATTGAGGTATTCCTGTGATACCTATGTGGGCAACAAGAAATCAAATGAATCATTTTTAGTTTGAGGGTTGGCAGTGTCTGGCTCAATGTGGATGAATTCCTCCTTTTCCTTTCCAACGTTGCTTGAGTTAACAGAGATTTATTGGCCTTCGCTATGCTCTGTCCAGGTCCCACCGCAGCAGTTCAATCATGATGGGGTCTGGACTTTGACTGGATCATTACAGCACCTTGATTGTTTCTCTTTTTTTCACCAGTGTTCTTGGAGATTGTGATCCTTTTTTTAATGGCCCAATTTCAAGCTTTATCAGATCATTTCACATTTGACTCAAGAACACTGTGGTATACAGAGGAGTTGAATGTACACTCGGTGGGTGCAAGCCAGAATCATCAGCTCCCCAGCACCAAAATGTCAGAATCTGTTTTAACACCAAGCATATTAGCTATGGTCACATCTCTCCTGCTGAGGATGAGGAGAAGTCTAGTAGTTTACTTAGACTAAACTTTGTAAACCAAAGCTCTGCTACAATGTTCTTTTTAGGGGGCAGCGGCTTTTCCCTGATAATGCAGATGCCATGCAGATGTGGCTCCTTATGATAATCTCTTTCAGTCAAATCCTGACAGTTTGCAAAGAATTGGCTGGGAAGTGAATCCATCTTTATCACTGACTGATGGACTCCAGACTGCTTGGAACTATCATCAAGGGCTGCTTGATGGTGTGATGGTTAGCACTGTCTCCTTACAGTAAGAGTCTCAACTGGGACTCTAGTCTGCAGAATTAGCATGCATGGGTTCTCTTTGGTTTCTCTGGATATTAACTGGAGATTCTAAATTAACCCCAGGAGTGAGAATGAGTGTGTATGGTTGTTTGCCTCTTTGTGTCGTCTCTGTGTTGGACTGGTGATTAATCAAAGATGTGCGTTGGCTGTCTCCTAACCAGAACTGGTAAAACCTCCAGCTCCCCCTTAACAGACTGGATATAGCGGATATCCAAAGTACACGGACGGCCTTATAAAACATTCATGATTGATGGGGCATGATAACTGTTTCTTAAGATCACTGATAATGTCTCTCATTCTACGAACATTAATCTGAATGCTCTAGACTCCAAAATCCAAAAGAAAAGTGTGAGGTTACACAATTTACTAGATGCTTATATTTTCCCACACTTGACTAATCATGCCTTCAGGGTGTGCTGGGTTTAACAGACACACTGTCTGATTTCTGCTTTAATTCGTATATAATCTATACAGACGTTACATAATGTTCTAAGGACTACCCAACTTTAACACCTGGTATAGTCCAGAGGATTTTTTTCTTTATCATTAAGTCTTGATACATACAACTTTAGCATTTGAAGAGTAAATACCTCTTTTTCTTTTGGCCAACAGTAGTTCATTACTTCATGGTTTTATTAAAAGGGCAGCTTTCATGTGTAAAGCAGAAAGAACAGAGGAGATGAGCCAAGTGAGACATTCCATAACACAAATTATTGAACAAAGGCCCCAGTAAACACTGAAAAGAAAACCAACCACTGAAGACTGACAACGTATATTCCTCACTCTTGTTGATCCCATGGGCAGCAGGGCGTCCAGGTCCATGCACGACAGGCTAAATATTTTCCACATCTAAGAGTCTGACCATAGAAGTGTAAGTCGCTCTAAAAATGCTGTGTAGAAAAGTCTTTTTGACCTTGCCTTTACCTGTGTGTTACTTTCGCTCCCTCAAGGCACTTTTGCCTTGTCAGCCTTCTCAGTACTTTAATAATTCACTCTGTTTACATATTTAATGCATGTCTTTTTTTTTCAAACTGACCGAAAAACTAAAGTTATTTAGGTCTCAGTGATATGCCCTGAGGCTGTGATCGCAGCTGCTTTAGAAAAAAAAATGATGGGATCTGATCCCATTTAGATTTGGAATCGCAGAGTGGATGAAAAAAAGTAGGATAACGATAGAGAAGCGAGTGATTTGACGCTGATGATTATGGCGAGTTGGACGATAATGATCCCGAGAATAGTAAAGGGGAGCAGGAGAAAAGGAAGAATGTCCATGAGAAAAAAAGAGGCACGGGAGCATGAGAGGAGAGGAGCGTGTGCAATGTGACAGCGGGCAGATGGAGCGGGAAAGAAGACATTGGCCCAGTGGCTTTGGGCTGTCTCTTCCAGTCCACTCGTAGCTGAGACGCAGAGCTGACCAGGTGTTTCACTCGGTTATATTTGTGCACAGACAACACACACAAAACGGTCAGTATCAGGACCGCTCAGCTTACTGTGTCTGGCCAGTTGACTGTCCTCCCTTAGAAGCAGCTGCTGGGTGTGTCATGCCGACACCCGACAAGACGCAAACCTTTCTTGCTTGGGGGAGGGTAAGTAAAGATCACTCTCACATCAAAACTGACAGGGCTGGCATAGTGAGAAAATAGAGACGGATAATCCATAGCGTCATGTTTCTGTATCTTCTTCTCCTAGCATGATGCTCATCGTTCCTCTGCAGGGGCTCAGCACAAACACAGCTGGAGGTTAATAGAGACAGACTACTTTTGCTAAATCTAACTGCATGAGACACATGTTCGACTCTGTTACAGTAATCGTGGTCATGCTAAGCAAAAATACACTTTGTTAAAAGACCTTTCCACATCTTAGTTCAAAAGATGAAACTTGTGCAGCATCACTGTCTAAAAGAACGGAGGCTTTTCTGATTCAGTCGGTCAACAACCCGTCCTCTGTTCTACGTCCCTCTTTTTTGTGCTTTTCTCATTGCTGATGAATCCTTTCAGAAACGCTTCAGAGGAATAAAGAGAAACAGTGGAGTGATGCGCACAGGACACATCCTCTGCACATGTTCAAAGACGAAGGCTGAGCCCATGCAAGGAGGGGGCAACCCTGATGATCAAATAAAGTAGTGTTCCTCTATCAATACAAGCTGACCCACTATCCACTGCTTTATGTTTACAACAGATGCTGGCATGGGCAGACGTTTGAAAGCTCTGACGAAATCAGAAAGCAAGGTTCCTTCACACTGGAGAAAATTTTATTTTGAGTATTTTCCAGGCCTTTATATGTATGAAAAAAGAGGAAGAGAACACAGAAAAAACATCAGATTTAATTAACAAGCCATCAAATGAGCAAATTGCTTTTTGCACAAACTTTACAAAACAGATTTTGAGAATCTTCAATGTTGTCTCCTTCTGGTGTATCTAATATTTTGGAGCGTTAATTTTTCAACCATCGTAAGTGTGTGCTTTTTATTTATTTATTTATTTATTTTTATAATTAGATGGTTTGAGATACTGATGAGCTCCCTGAAGAGCAACATAACCTACATCATTTTTATCATGAGTAGTCACATGGAGCATACACATTCCAGACTGTATTTCAAAGGTGTGTTGAAGCAGGGAAACTTCAAAAACCTGCAGGACAGCAGCTCTCGTGTTAAACTTGCGTTGAATGACCTCGATCTTAAGAGAATGTAATGCAAGGAAAAAAAAGAAAAAAAGAAACACTTGGAGATCCTTCTAAGTTGACCCTCTTTATTCTGAAATGCTAAATAAGAAAGTTTCTATGAATCCATGTGATATAAACTGCTTTGGCTCAAATCACTGAGGCTGACAGTGAAGTTTAGAGAACACCCGTGTGGTGTGTGTGTGTGTGCCCTGTGTGTGAGGGAGGCTGCCCACCTGCAGAGGCTGCAGACAAAGCACTTGGGGTGGTAGGTTCGTCCCAGAGCAGAGACCACCTCTCCTGTGATGAAGCTGTCGCAGCGGTCGCAGCGCGTGCCGTACAGACGCTGGTAGTCTGCCGTACAGATGTACTCACCCTTCTTCTGGAAGAAACCAGATCGTGCCAGATCACAGTTACACACTGTGGAGCGAAGCATAAAGAAGAAGAAACAACATGAAATCCCAAAACAAAAAAAAGTTTTAAAAAAAGGAATAATGTGTGAAAGCTATTTCAGGTATCAGACTCTTTAAAGTGAGTTTGTTGCTTTTCTGTGTGTGTGTTTGCCTTCACACATGGCTGCCAAGAAAGTTATTCAGTTCCAGACAGCGGTGAGTCAATTTGCCCTGATGGGAATATAATGATATGATCAGTGTAAAAGTAATTTTGTGCTGAACAATGCAAATAGAGAGTCAAACGGGGAAACACATCGGAACATCATCTACAAACCCTTTACACATTGCTTCAAAAGACAAGAGAAATGTCTTGCTGTGTATCCAGTGTATCCCTGTGTGTTGTTTATACTAAGCAGATAATATGCGTGACAGTTCTTTTGCTTCACAAAGAAGAGGGAATTCCAGAAGGTGTAACAGTTTTTGTAAAGATTTGTGGCTAGTGTGGTTTCTTATGTATTTCCCCTAGTCTGTGTGGTGTACGAACAGGAGAGCTGGCAATTGCCGTAAGACTGATCGAAAAAAGGCTACTACCTTAAATACATGCCACTGATGGGGTTAAAGGCGGACAAATGTCTTTTTAAGAATTGCATTAAGCAAATGATAACCAATGCTGATCCCAAAGGGTTTTTAAAAAATCTGGTCAATCTTTATCCCCCTGCTGTGTGACTGGCTTTTTAAGTATCACTCATCTACTATAATAAAATCACTACAACTGTCTTTGCTGGTAGCACTATCATTTACTTTAAAGCTTCTCCCAGATTAGCATTGAAAATGAAAACATGGGGACGTACACATTGGATCAGTCAAACATTAAAACCATACATGCATCTTTTAGAATTACTGATTGTTCATAGTGCAGTATTCTGGCTAGAAATCTTGTGTCCTGGTCTGGATATCACTTTGGTGTCAAAATCTGCTGAAGAATTTTTACAAGGCATACACACCCAATGGAAACACACTGGACTTATTCTGCAACCCACGTGCCCAAAAAGTCTTGTGTCTGGCCCACAATGAGTCAGAGCTGTTTGGGATACACTGGTGTTGACTGTTGACTGGTGTATGGTCACTGCTTTGCTTTTCCAGGGCTAAGCGTTGTCATCTTGAGATGGTTAACTTTAAAGAAAATTTATTTGAACACTTTCCCCTGACTTCAATGCATCTAAAGCCACAATTTTCCACGACTGCTTGCAAACACCAGACTCAAACTCCCCCCCTTACAGCGCTACTCAAAACGTGACCCCTCAGAGCATCTATGTTCTCAAACACTGAACAACACTGCCACAGTTCTACAGATCTTCACACAATCCCTTTACTCCTTTAATATCTGTATGTAGCACACTTTTGGGTTTGTTTTCCCCTGAGTTGTTATTAGAGCAAAGCAAATGCAAAGCAAGCTCACCCAAAATTGTTGCTCTGAGCACAATATCAGAGTAGATAACACAAATGTTAGGTGATATATACTAATCTGAAGCATACACAGAAAAGCCAATAGGGACGTCTCTAAAATGTACATCAACCATGCACTGGGGCAGTTTGTGGCCCTAATATGTTTTACTCTTGTTTTTTTAAAGATTTTCTTACAAGAAAGCAATAAGTGTTGTCTGAAATTTAAAGAGAAAAGCCAAAGAAATGTATAAAAAGGTTATTTGTAATCTGTGTAAATGTAAATCATTGTGGAGATATCGAAGCTACTCTAAACCTGCTCTTACATGGTTTATTCTTTTCTTATGACTTTTGTGTCACTGTTTTGCATCTCTCCAAAAAGTATTCTTTTAATATAACTTATCTTTTTATAAAATATATATAAAATATTTTTAATAAAATGAATGTGAGCACACCCAATAAGATCATTTATTGCTGACAATCATGATTCTAAAACCTTCACCTAAATCGTTAAATGATCAATGAACTCATTTAGCTGTTTAACAGAGTCCAGGATATCTTTGCAGTCTCTCATTGTGGGCCAATGTTAAAAGGAACCTGTGAGGCCGACACACTAAAAATGGTTAGCAAGTCACAACCTTGCAGCTGGTATGTGACACCTAATGACACGAGAGAAGGATTTAAGTTGTCTTCACATACTTCTCTGAAAGTGTTAATTTAGCAACCTGAACAAACTGCCAACCCCCTGAGGCCAAACTGTGGACAACTTGTACAACTTGTACATACATAGTATTTCTGATTCTGATTCTGATTTAAATGCTAATGAAGTTACAGGCCAAATCAGATGCTGTTAACGTGAGAATAACAGCACGCATAGCTGACAATTGCCAGCAAAATACAGCCACCGAATAATGGAACAAACACAAAATGTTCAGTTAATGATACGTCATTCTTGTCCAGAAATGAAGCATAAGGGAAAACCTCAACTCACTGCCACTAAATGAATTCACATTCCCCATATGCTGGAGAAAATAAAGCTGCTCCACCGGGCTGCACTTGGGTCCCCAGAGCCAACCAGTTTTCACTGTTTGCTTGCAGGCAGTCGCACACACACACATACACACACACACCCACACACACATAACCCCCTTCAAAGGGGCTCATTTAATCTCAAGCTGTTTATGAGTGGATCGTATTGACTTAATGGTGTAATAAAAGATCAATGGGCCCTTACTTAAAAACAAAACAATCAGTTCCCTTTGGGAAGGCAGAAACACATAAATCCATCCCTGATGAGATGGCATATGCAGAGATAGAGTGATGGGAAGGGACACTGTGCACAGTGAGATATGATCATGGCGCTCCATCATTGTGACAGGACATTACATCAAGCAAAGGTACCACCTGAATAAAAGAAGGAGCTAAAGTGGAAGCCTGTAGAGGACCCAACTATAAAAATGTGCATGTGCCGACCACATTTCCAAAAGCACTGAGCAAGGGCACAGAGCTTCAAAAAGTGTCCTCGCTGCATTTTCAACCGCCAAAACTAAAGCGCCAGAAACCCAGAAACCCAAATCACAGGCTATCCAATCTCTTCATGGAAAATGGGAAAGAGAGGGTAAATACTTCCACGTGTATATGAGGTTTCATTAATGAAAAAAAAGAAGAAGCGTTTTGTACTGGAACAAACAGGGTTTTAACCTGCCAAACCCAAACTGTTGTCAATTCACAGCTTTATTTCCTCTGCCTCTCTTTTTATTTGTTGCCCTTTCTCTTTTAGCATCATCGAAATGGTCTGCAGTTCAGTCGCCAATCAGATTGGCTGCCTAGTTAATGGAATCTGCTTGATTAGCCAAATGCAGTTTGTGCTTTAGCATACAGATGCCTGGCCGAGCTGCCCAGACTGGATTGGATGGTCTGGATGGATGCTTCACCTGTTGGTTAGTCACGGCTCTCCTCTAAGTGGGCTATTGGCTGGCTGCATTGAAAAGGTCTTCCCACTTGCATAGTTGCCAGGAAGGTGTACACGTTCCACAGTTTCCCTAGAGACAGCTAGGTTTCAGGCTGATTGATGTGTTGGTGGGTGTGGTGTGGGCAGCATTTTTTGAAGGTGCTGCTGGGCTTCAAACTCGTGGCTGTAAGAATCACATCTTGACTCCGATTAAACCTGAAATGAGCTGAAACATTCCAGCAATGTCATTCTTTTAAAGTGACAGCCTCATTTGCAATTAATGCAAGCATAAATAAATAACATCTTTGATTTATGTTAAGTACTGTATACCAATCTATAGATGTTGAATTCAAACTTTTACCTCTGTATAAGCTAATATCTTAATATCCTCAGATATTTTTACTGCATTTAAAAAATACTTCCACTACATGTTAAGGGGGGATCTGTTACCCAAGACCTTTAATCTCTCATTTCAGATTAAATACTCAAAATAACCACACACATGCTTTTGTTTCTAATTAGACTGCTCAAGCTTGTTTCCAAAAGTTACATTCTAATTTAATTCTCTTAAAAAGACCACAGTGTATATTTGTTGCACAAAATAGTCAGCTGTTTTTGGATGAAAAACTGCCTCTGGTAGCTTGCCAGCATCTATGCATGCACCCCCAGAGTAATACAGGTAAGTGGAAGAGGCTCGGCTGAAACTGTGTCTGATAACCACAACATTATAAGAAGAAAGACAGTTTAATAGAATTCTTGTAGATAACAAAGCCAACAGAAGGAAGGGGGAAAGTAAAACTTTTTTTTTTTAACAAAACTATTACAAAAGCCAGATGCATCATAAACCTAAACGGTGGTGGTGGGGGAGACTACCAGGAAACAGAAGCTGGACTAAACAAAACAATTGGCAGTAAACAAGTGGTAGCTACAGCATGGTTTACCTGGTTTGACCTAGCAAGGACTGAAGGAAACTAAAGAGCTTAAGTACTATGGGGAGAGTGATTAGTGAGTGAGTACAGCCTGGGACGATTGGAACTGATAACCAGACAGGAGGGAAACTGAGGATCCTACGGGTGAAGACCAGAAAGGGAGGAAACTAAGTACAGCAAGGAAAGACCACAAGCAAAACCCAGGAAAAATCTTCGGGGCATGACATCTACTTGGTTTAGGTTTGTAATGCCAAAAGAAAGTTATATTATAAAACAAAATGTCATATATAAAATGTTGTCATTACCTTTTCCAATGTTTATACATTCACTATTAGTGTCACTTCTACAAAACATAGATTTTTTCCCCTGTGGATCACTTCCAGTTCATAGGTTCAAGGGTGAAAGACAACAAATCTATTTTAATAACAAACCAAAGCAAATAACTGAAATTTCCATCAGTTAAGGACATACTGGGCGTGTGAAAAGTGTTGCTGATTAAAGTTTTAACAGCCTGCAGACCCTCTTTTAACCGTCAAGCGGAGATTTTAAAAACTTGTGCGTTCGTGTGTTGGTTGCCAGCTCCGTGGGTGGAACTGGGACTGACTGGTGTCCCCGCTGCTGCTGCTGCGAGGCGGTGGCTTTGCTTGGCTTCAAGAAAAAGGGTTTTGGCTATAACCGTACGCCTAACGCCACATGGTGTGGACAGCCACCCATAAAACCA